ATTTTTGGGAATTTTTATTTGACTAAAGGAATTGTCAGACATTTCAGTTGTTTTTTTTTAAATTAAAGGCTTTTTAACAAAAGTCTGTTGTCTTTAGTTAAATGTTTAGTGAATGGGTAGAGGTACAAGTACCCCTTACTCATTCACAACCAGGGGTAGCATCTGGGTGCCCCTTTAATAAAGGGGCACCCCAGTGCAAATAAGACCCCTGCCTGCAGACCTCAACAACCAACACCCTAGGGCTTGTGGGGAAGAGGCCCTTGTTCCCATCGGCATAGGGACAAGGTACTTTTCCATGGAGGGTCCTGGGAAAGCACCCTCCCGGTGCTGAGGGTATGTGGCCTGGTATGGCAAGGAGGGGTTGCTCGCTTGCCCCCCCCCCCCTTTCCGGCCCTGCCTGGTCTGTGCTGGAATCAAGGGTCTGGTTGGGAATTTTAGGGGGGACCCCACATTTTTATTTCCCCATTTTTGGGGGTGGGGTTCCTCCTTAAATTTCTAACCAGATCTAAAGGGCCTGGTATGACTTTGAGGGGGAAAACCTATGCTTTATTTTCCTTGGGGTCCCTACTAAAATTCCTACTAGACCTAAAGGGTTTGGTATAGATCAAAGGGGGACCCCACAACGTTTTAAAAAATATATATTTACTTGTCATTTTATATTCTGCTCGCTACCTCAGAGGTACCGAGCAGACTTACTGAGCCAAATGCCGCTCGGCGACACTTACCAGACCCTTAATCCAAGCACAGGCTTGGCAGAGCATGAAAGTGAGGGGCTGAGTGAGCACCCCCCTCCCTTCCGCAAAATTACATTCTGACAGATGCCGGCAAAATGTAAACAATTGGGCAGAGCTAGCGGTAACTTCACTGCTAGCTCCACCCAATTGTTTACATTTGTCCAGCACCTGTCAGACACTTCCCAAAGGTGCCAGCCAAATCAAAACAACTGAGCAGAGCCAGCCGTGATGTCATGGCCAGTTGTTGTCATTTAATGACAGCCCAGTGTCCTTAAACAACCTGAGGATGCTGGGCTGTCAATTAATGAGAATAACTGGGCGGAGGGAGTCATGTCATTATGGCTGGCTCCACCCAGTTGTTTACATTTGCAGAGAAAACAATCTGCTCTGGCAGATGGTTCGCCCCGCTTCGGCTGTGACTTCGGCTTAGTCGACCAGAAGCATATGAGTTCAGCTCGTCTGAGCCGCTTGGCTGCCTTCGGCTGCTTCGGCTTAATCCTTTGGCTCCTTCATGAATAACCCTTATTAGGCTTTTTAGAGGGTTATTCGAAGCCAAACGATGTACAGCTGATTTTTAGACAATGTACGGCTGAAATCAACTTTACAGGGCCGAAGTGAATAGCCGAACGGCATTCAGCTCATTTCACTTTGGCTTGGTTATTCACTCGGCTGCCTTTGGCAGAGTAATGCATAACCCCCTAAGTGTTTTGAAATGAGAGGCTGGTAATGTAATTTAATACTACCCAGGTGTGGTCAGCTTTCTTTGGGAAGGGTTTAAGGTAGAGTGGGGAGAGTTCATGCATTGTGGTAATGATAGGTAATGATAGTTTGTTACATGTGGACTAACATTGTCATGCTTTTACTTGCTTATTCTGATCACTACTTTTCTACTTGGTAAGTCCAATATTAGGACTAGACATAGTGCGATTCATTTTATTCCAAATTGAAATCCGTACACATTTTCAGAAATTCAGACATTCGGATGCATCCAAATTTCCAAATGAAAGATATAACACATCTGACTTATCCACATTTTCCACTAACAAAATTTGGGATTCATCTGAATTTTTTCTGGAATGTCATTCTTAATCAACTTGTGTTGTTAAACGTTAAAAAAACACACAAAAAAGGCGTGCAAACTCCTTTTCCAATTCATACCAGACCCTTTAGGGTGGGGTCCCCCATAAAATCCCTTGCCAGACCCTTGAACTGCTGAACTATGAACTTTGAACTCTCAATGCACTTTATCAGCAGCAATATTTATGCTTTCCTTATCACAGATAGAAAACATGGTCAATACATCTGTCGGGAACTTTTATAGTGAGGGGATTGGCTTATCGAAAAGCCCACTTATTGGCCCTCCTAGGTTTTAAGGCCGGACAGTGCATTATGGTTACTATGACAAGTTCTCATATTAATTCACCGAGTTTGGGAATTGCAACCACACAGGTCATAATGCTATAACTTTGTTGAAGACACCTGGTATGGAGGACCAGAGCTACGAGACAAGGCTACTAAATTTAAACATGTTCACATTAGAGGTGAGGAGATTAAGGGGGGATATGATTTCCATCTACAAAATGTTTAATGGTGGTAGCAACATTAGCGATAAACTGTTTAAAATTAACTCCGTTACAAAAACTAGAGGCCATCACCTAAAATTGATGGAAAAAAAATTCCAGCACAAGGGGCGAAGGGGGTTCTTCACAGTAAGATCAGTTAGGGTCTGGAACTCACTGCCACAGGCGGTGATTTCAGCAAATAATGTGGAATTGTTCAAGAAACTTTTGGACGATTTCTTAAGGGACCGTAATATACAGGGGTACAGGTAATATACAGGGGTACAGGTAATATACAGGGGTACAGGTACTATACAGGGGTACGGGTACTCCTAGAATGAGATCCTAATAGGTTGGACTTGATGGACTAATGTCTTTATTCAACCTCAAATACTATGTAACCTCACCATGTCCTCTATGCCAACATTTTGGGCTGTTCTCTCTCCCTCTTACACACCTGGATTTAATGGCTGACACTCTTTTGGACAGTGACTGGCACTTTTTTTGGAAGACACCTGTCTGTGCTTTCTATCTAAACATGTAAACCTGTCCTTGCTGTTGCCAAAATATCTTGCCACAGCTCAAAATTTACATACAAATATCTCAGGGCTGATGTTTTAACTTTTGTAGGAAAATACCTTACTTTGCATTGCGTCTCAACAATTGGGGGTGCTCTCACTGCCGGCAAAGTGCTCAAATTTTACACAGAAACATCTGAAGACTGATGCTCTTTATTTTTGAAGGAAAACTCCTCCCTGTTCCTTTTGTTTTGGCCTTTGAGCCTGTTAGCACTGATAGACAATTGCCCTGCTGCTCATCAATTTTTTACACAGCTGTATCTGAGGGATCATGATCTTCCTTTTTGTTGTAATACACTTGTCGGTTCTTTCTGTCTTTATATTTAGACCTGTTCTTGCTGCTACAAAATTTTCCTGTCTTTTTTACACACAAATATCTGAGAGCTGATGTTCTAATTTTTTGTGGGAAAGCATCTGCCTATGCCTTGTGCCTCTGCATTTGGGCCTGTTCCTAGGGATGCAAAACTGTCCTTTCTCTAGTCAATTTTGAACCTACTTTCTTTTGTTTATAAGTGTTTTATACATTTATAACTATTATTGAAATAACTTATATATACCTTTCAATGTAGTTATTTTTTCTCACAAATCTTGCACAGCACATCGCTGTTTATGCATCTTCATCAGTTTTAATTTTCAATTATTGAGGTTATGAAAACCTGATAAAATAAATGGCAAAAATTTGCTGGGCAACTGACCATCACACTTAACCATCACACTATAAGCTTGTAGGACAGGGGCATTAATATGGGCTTGACCCCCCTCCCCCTGTCTATAACAGACTCCACTCTATGGGAAAGTTTTGCCCATTCATCCAAAAGAATATGAGGTTGTTGTGTCTCTTCCTGCTAAACGATGGCAGTCAATAGTCCTCCCGCAGTCTCAACTTTCCACACTATTCTCACACCTGGGGGGCAGCTCATCCAAGGGCTCAGGGACTCCCATCATAGACATAGAAAACATAGGAAAAAGAGCTCCGCCTCCATGTGTAAAAACTTTTATTTAGTTAAATAGAAATAGGTGAAGGTACTCACAATGTTTGAAATTCCAATGTGCTTCTCAAAGCCACAATAATGATTTAGAAGGGAGTCATCCATCCCGACTGGATACAACAGCAGCCTCCAATTTCATCACACAATCCACCGGCTGCTGTGAACCTGGTTAAAGCGTTTCAGGGGCACGCTCCCTTCATCAGGACCATAGCATGTTTTGCAGTGTGCTCGGTTTAGGATCAAAATTTGGACAATCAGAGGAGATTTTCTCATGACTTGTCATGAAGTGATTGGTCAGCCACCTACTCGTATGGTACCATTCAAGGAGTGTCAGGGAGCCTAAGGCACGATTACGCAGATCGCCAATCAAGGTCCTTAGGAACCATATGGCTTAGTATCTAATGATTGGTGCAAAGATTGTGCTAATGTAGCATGAGATGAACGTGCGGCTCAATCTGATCATAAGCATACTGACACTTTACGCTTCTTATTATTCTGCAAATTTTCGCTCACTCATCCCCACCTTACCCTGTATTGCTTAGATTAATTAAATTGATAGTTGCACCACCACACATGTAAATATTGGCTTGAAGCTATAACATGTATGTGTTAATATGAATAGTAGTAGTAGTAGAGTTGAGAGAAATAATAAATAATAAGACTAAAATAACCAATAATTAAACACCTATATATTAGTTTATTAATGGGCCCCTCTTATAGGATTACATATGCATTCTTATGCGTTCAGAACGAATATTCAACCTAATAAAGTGTATATATAATTTGGAATAGTAATTTATCAAACTACTGGATTCTTACTAAACCAAACTTAGCAATAATTTTAGCTATATTTAAAATAATTATTGTCATTTTAACCAATTATCAACATATTTTTAGCTATGCTTTCTATCCAAAAGAATATATCTAAACATTACACACATTTCTTTACTGAATTCAATTAGGAAAATGTGAGAATCTTGGGTGAAAACATTAATAAACTGAACCCTAAGAGAGGTTCCCCATATCTATTCTTCTTATCAAGCAAACATAATTCTTTTCAGGTTTGAATAGGATAATGAAGCATTTGGGGAAAAATATACAGCTTAGAAGTCCAGCACTTGAGGCCAATATGGCAAATACCTCCACAGCTACCATAAATTTCCCTTTGGTGCTTTGATAGGCCGGGATCATGGCAATCCAGACACTGAAGAACACCAGAATACTGAAGGTGATGTACTTGGCCTCATTAAAACTGTCCGGTAATGTCCTCACCATGAAGGCCAGAACAAAACTAACATTTGCCAGAAACCCCATATAACCCAACACAGAGTAGAACCCGATGACTGACCCTTCATTACACTGAATGACGATCTTGTCCTGATAAGAATGAATGTCCATTTCCATAAAAAGGCGAGAAGAGGGCAACCAAACAAGACTTGAACAGACGAGCACAATGATACTATAGAATTGGACAGTTTACTTCCAAGCCATTTCCTCCAGTAGCTGCCAGGTTTGGTGGCTTTGAAAGCAATGTAAACCATGATTGTCTTAGCGAGAAGAGAGGAGACGGATATGGAGAAGATGATTCCAAATGTCATGACACGGAGTATACAGGTTATATCCAGTGGCTGACCAAGGAACAAGAACACACAGAGGAAGCTCAACAAGATGGAGACAAGGATAACGAAACTCAAGTTTCTGTTATTGGCTTTGACAATGGGGGTGTTCAGATGAGATATAAAAATCCCCATTACTAAAACAGTCACAATACAGAGTGAAGCAGAAGCTGTTAGGACTACTTTAGAAATGCCATCAGTGTAGGAGAGAAATTCCAGCACTTTTGGAATACACCGATCCTTCTTCTCATTAGGCCATTCATCATCTCTGCACTTCATACAGCTCTCCTTGTCTGCCAAGAGCAATAGATACAACACACATACATTTTTATTGTATTAGATGTCTAGATCATCTTATTGTACTTATTAGAAAATGCTCCCAAACTGCTCAATGTGTCAGGTTCTATGTACACTTCTACAGGCACCAATTTTTGTTCTAATTAATTAGACATTTATTTGTAGAGGAGCAAATGCTTTAATTTCCTATAATCTTTGTTTTTGCCCTTATTTTGGTAGGAATGTAATTTGGACGTGTATTTACTAGTCTTCTTCAGTACTCTCTAGGCATAACGCTGCATATGGTACAGTTGGAGACCTATAGAATTATCATTATTTAAATCTAACCTCCAGACAAATAAATAAATACACAGATAAAATACATATATGAGAGTTGTTTTACCTGTCAAAGGATTAGTAGTTCTGTCTATCCACTCAATACAAGGAGCATGCTGATTCTCCTTTCACTGTCCAGTCACAGGATGGTGGTTGGATGGAGACCTGTAAGCTCTCATATATGCATTTAGCCATTTGCCTGAAGTTTAGATGTCTTATACATATTTACAGGGCTATTCACATAAGGGTGAAGAGTTTGGAGAAGGTAGAAGTGAACAATCTCGGACAACATAGCTGATTTGTAAAGATTCTCCAATTCAGCTCACTTTCCAGTTCAGCGATGTTGTCCTAAATTGTTCAATTATCCTGCCTTCTTCAAACTCTTCACCCTTTTGTGAATAACCCTGTTGGGGTATACAATTATCAGATTTACTCTCACTAATGCTGATGTAGTAGAGTGAAGAGAGGTCACTTAAATGTGTTACAAAAATTGCATTTATTTCAAGTTTGATTTACAATATCCTTCAAATTCCAGAGATTAGTCTTGGAATGTTTTTGTTAATTGTAAAATTAATAATCCTAAATGATGTATTGTAGAGATGTGCTACATTTTTGTTGTTGTTTTGCCTTAACATATGCTTAAAACCCTAACTCCAGCTAAAATCTGTTTTTCTGAGAGGCATGGCTAGCAAATGAGCTGCATGATTGTTTAACCCAGGAGCACCGCTCATTCGGCTCGGATCTATCATAATAGCCTCAGATAAACACACTATCTATCATCAGGCTCCTGTTGGTCATCTACCCTAGTATCCACTGGGATGACTCGTAAGAGAAAGAAGAGTCTGCGACCACAAAAGCTGACTGAATTCTTTTCATGGCCCGTTCAACAGTATGGGTAAGATGGTGGCAGATCCTCCTCCCCAATCTAAATGTCTGCATTGCCAATGGTGGAGATAAACCCTCCTGTGTGACTCCCCGTCAGCCCAGAACTATGATTCTACACCCTTGACTCTAGAATCCTCCACACCTCATCAGGAACCCAGCAAACCTCGGATGGCTGAGAAACAACTAGGCCAAACAGAGGTGAGCATGCATTGTTTCTCTAAGGACAATACTAGGGAATTTCATGAATCTATTAACACATTCCCTACTCTTAATCATCCAGTCATGGACACTACGGTCAAAGACATACTGAGCTCTCTGTGCAGCTCCTTTCATACAGATATGATGTCTTTAATGCTACAATTTCGGGTGGAGGTAGAGGGGATTGGAGACAGGGGATTGAAGACAGGGTTAATCATATTGAAAAAAAGATGGGAGAATTTGCATCTACAGTGAATGACCTCATAGACTCTCACAATTCAGTAACAGATGACCTATAATGGGTTACATCTACATTGGCTGATTTGGAAGACAGATGAAGAAGTAACTTGAAGGTGCCAGAATCTATACAACAATCTGACCTTTTGCAGTGTATGCAAAATAGCATACGCTCTGTCTTGCCTCAGAGGACCACAACTAAAATCATTAACGATCCCCCTAACCCTGTTTTTCTTCCAAATAAGCTTCCACAAAGTGTGTTACTGTGTGTTCACTTCTTTCATGTGAAGGAAAGGATTATAGAGGTTGTGCAGAAACCAGACCAACTGCCTGAAACGTGCTAATGTTCAGTTCTTTGCTGATTTGTCACAACATACAGGGTGCTCTCAGGAAGAAAAACTTTTACCTATCCCATAAAGCCCTTAGGCAGCATCATCAAGACTGCAGGTGGGGCTACCCCAGAAACATTAGTCTTTCCAGGAATGGAACCATGCACTTCATATCTTCCTTTGAAGATGGTCTGGAACTTCTGCGTTCCTGGAACATTGTTCCTGAAACTATCATAACAGCATCCAGATTCTGCACCGAACAAAATATCTCCTGAATGGAGGCCTCGTCTTCCTCCATAGTGGAACGCTAACCACCTTTTTATCTTCCCCATACTGCTGCACAGCATTATTCTGCATATGGATCTGCATTCAAATGTCCTCTTTTACCCTTCCTGTTTTATGTTATTCTTGTTCGACCTTGTTTTTGTTCTTGTTACTATTTTTCTAGTTAAAGGCACAGACCATGTCATCTTGTACTGTTATGTGATCTGTATTCTGCAACTTTAGTCCTTGGGTCTTCCACTGCTCTTAAGGCCTTAGCACTCCAACTATATGTAAGTTACCTACTTTTTTCATCCTCCTTAATTTATCATTGCAATGGGACTTAAAATACTTTCCATTAATGCCAAAGCTTAAAACATCCTGCAAAATGCTCCTCACTATATAAAGAAGCCTGCTTATCTAAATGCAACTTAAGCTGTATTCAGGAGATCCATTTCAACCTTTTAGCTACTGCCTTTTAGCTACTCACAAAGTACATTTTCACCAGTGAGTCTGTTAAGAAGTGGAAAATCATGATTGCAGTGAAACACAGTGTGTCCTTTACCTTTCATTAACTTTCTTCTGACCCATTAGGTTGCTTCTTAATACTGATAGCTCTTATAGACAATAAGCTATACCCTCTGGTTAATCTATATGCTCCAAATACCCATCAGCTTCGATTTTCCATAAACTATTTTCAAAAGTCTCTACTGTGAAGCAAGGCTCTCTTGTTATATAGTTACATACATAGTATTTGGGATTGAATAAAGACATACGTCCATCAAGTCCAACCCATATAGGTCCACGCATCATCTCATTCTTAGGGTTACTGGTATCCCTGGATATTACGGTCCCTCAAGAAATTGTCCAAACGTTTCTTGAACAAATCTACACTCTTGGCTGAAATCACTGCCAGTGGCAGTGAGTTCCAGACCTTAACCGCTCTTACTGTAAAGAACCCTCTTCGCCCATTGTGCTGGAATTTTTTCTCCACCAACTTTAGGTGGTGGCCTCTAGTCTTTGTAATGGAGTTAATCTCAAACAGTTTGTTGCCAATGTTGCTGTCACCATTGAACATCTTGTACATGAAAATCATATCCCCCCTTAATCTCCTTAATTCCAGCGTAAACACGTTTAAGGTCAGAAGCCTTGTCTCATAGCTCTGGTCCTCCATTCCCCTAATTAGTTTTGTTGCCCTCCGCTGGACTCTCTCCAGTTCAAGGACATCCCTACTCAGTACCGGCGACCAAAACTGGACCGCGTACTCCAGATGTAAATATATGTGTGGCCTTTAACATGGTTCCTGACCCTTCTCATTTCTCACCTACCTTACAGCATCTCACACATAATGAGGATCTATACGATGTCTGGCATTGCCATTATCCATCTGAAAAAGACTACACTGTTTTTCTCACATGTATATAATGCCTATTCCAGGATTGCTGTTATTTTAGTTCATAAATTACTTCTAGAATCCGTTTTAGACTCTACCAATCACAATTTAACCTGGTCAGACCATGCGCCTACTTCCGTCACTATTTCTGATGTCTTTCCAACAAGACCTGCTTATCTATGGAGGAACAACTCGACTCGGATAAATAATATGTCAGAATGCTTTTTTTCCCTTCAAAAGCAATTAGATGACTTTTTTTCAGTTGACTCCTCCTCGGTGTTGGATCCTCTTGTACTATGGGATTCCCACATAGCATGTATGCGGGGAATCCATATAAAACTAAATTGTTAGGATAGGAGACAGAGGAAGCAGCACATAGATTCCTTTTTTGTGGACGTCCAATCCTTAGTAATCCAAAATAAGCAACACCCTAACTCGGAGTTGTCTAATGACTTAGTTCTACTTCTAGACCAACTTGATGAATATACTCGTAGGTTGAAATTAAACTACTATTTCAGTGCTGGTAAGGCAGGTGCTCTCCTGGCAAGAAAAAAAATATCATATCTTATTCGCTCTTCTGATGGGAGCAGGATACTAAACCCTCAAGATATAGTAAACAAATGTAGTCATTATTTTTATGTCTTTGGTTTTTTCGGATTTTGGATGAGGAATTTGATTCAGTTCGTTATTTGGATTTCATATCTGTCCAAATTATAGTTTTGAAATGATCCACAGCAGGAAGTCACATGACCGTGCCTGTAATGCAACTCCCAAAAGCCAAAAAAATCTGATTGGCAAGAGAACAAGTACAATTTAGTTTCCTTTTGAACTAAATTCGGATGGGATCTGAATTTTCATTAAAGAAACATTCGGATCCGTTTGGATTAGTTCGCAATCGGACACTTTTCAATTCGGAAATAAATAAGCATCCGATTGTTCGATTTTAACGAAATTCTTCTTAATATCCATTCGGAAGGAAATTAAATTCACGTGTCTATTAGTAATTATTATAGCTCCCGTTATAATCTAAAGGATGATGGCCACACTCCTCAACCTTTCTGTGAAGCTATTGAATATTTTCTCTCAACTCTAGATGTCCCTTGTATTTCTGCAACCCAACTTCAACAGCTTGACCACCCTTTTGCTGTAGCTGAAATCCCAAAAAACTATTTTCCACCTTCTATTAACAAATCTCCGGGGCCTGATGGATTTTCAGGACAATATTATAAACTTTTCAAAACTGCTTTAAGCCCATTTTTACAATCAGTTTATAACTCCGCTGCTGCCTCTGCCTCCTTCCCCCCTGAAGTGTTTAATGCTCTTGTTATCACCATCCCTAAGCTATGGCAGGAGCCAGTGTCTGCCCAAAATGTTCACCCTATTTTGCTACTTAATACTAAACTCAAGAGATACTCTAAAATACTAGCAACATTTATTTTCTTCTCTGCTCTTAACCCTAGATGCAGAGAAGGCATTCAGTAGAATGCATTGGGGCAATGTAGCCCAGGTTTTACAAAAAATCAGCTTCCATGACACCATTTTCTCAGCTATAATTGCCCTTTATTTGGCCCCTTTGGCTCGGGTCTTCACTTCAGGCATTTCACCTAAACCCTTTACAATTTCTAATGGAACATGGCATTTTCATCTTCTATCCTCTTATGAAATCCTTATCTATAGTATTAGAATGAACTCTGCAACATCAGGCTTCATGTTCAATCAAAGCTAACATAAAATAAATCTTTTTGCAGACAATGTTAATTTAATGCTAACTGAACTGGCTCATTCTCTGGTGGAGGTCCAACGTATTTGCTGTCTCTTTGTTGATGTATCTTATTATAAAGTGAAAGATTCTAAGTCTCATATCCTCAATTCGGGGATTAAACCACAGTTACAACACATGTTGCAATCCAAATTTACCCTATACTTGAAGTAAGTCAGGGATTAGCTATCTCGGTTTTATGCTTTCTAGTTTCAGTGCCCACTTATTTCAATTGAATTATCTTCCCTTCTTAGTGAGATATGATCGCTCCTGCTCTGGATGATTAGCCTCCTTTAAAATGAAGATCCTCCACCAAATTCTATAGCTCTTCAGGGTTTTACCTATTCCCTCACCTTCTGCTTAGTTCACTAAACTATGGATAATGGAAACCTTCCCGGGGGATGTCATAAGGCAGCCTAGGATCATAATAATCCGGGACTGAACGATGTGAGTGATTCTCGATTTAAGTGACCACCCACAACTGCCACTGAAGAAGGAGGAGGTGACACCATCAGATCTACCTAAAGTCTACATCTTTGGGGCTCTGGGAGCACTTTGGGGTCGAAACTACATTTAAATGATGTCTTACATGTAGTGAATGGATATTTCTAAAAGTTCAGTTCTAGGATCTTCCCCTGATAGGAGCCCAGTGAACTGTCTGTGGTTAGTTTGAACTGTATTTCTGTATGCAAGAGTGTTTATTTGTTTATTTACTCCAGTCTACCAATATCACTATGAAACTTTACCACATGTGATTCCCTACCCCAACTAGAATATGCTTTATATGAAAATTCTAAAGTGTTGTTATTTAAGTTGCAACTTTCTCACATCTGTGAATTTTGGTTGAATAAAAAGTTTATCAAATATAACTGTACATAAAAGGGTTACGGTATACCGGTCTGATTGGATATCTCCCCTTCTGAACATGAGACACATTGATAGCAGTAAGAGTGGATTGAAGATCCTGGCTTTTTTCTTTTTCCAGGCAAACAAACCTCTGAGCACCGAGATTCCAGCAGCTAAAAATACATCAAATAAAAAAGAATTGGCATATCAAAAAATTATTTTACTCATGTAAAATAGCATTGGAAGTACAGTAAGAGTGTGTGGCCAACTGGTTTTGCATCTCCTGTACCTTTGCTTTACAGCAAAATTTGTTTGCAAGTCATTTACAAAAAAAGTAAGAAAAACACAACAGCCACTGCATTGGGAGACGTCAAACCATCTGTGCCTCTAGCTTTCAGGTGGCACGGATGACATTTAATTCTGGTCCTTGCAGTGAAAAAACATTATTGAACAAACATAGAAAAATGGTCATTGGCTTTGGGGACATAAAGCGCTGCTCCCCATTTCATAAAGGAATTTAACTGCTGTGAGTGTCCCAAAACTTGCTCTTAGGTAAGAAAAACTGCTTGAGCAATAAAGCAAGTGCCCGAAAAGTAACTGTGAGCTGGACTGGTCAAAAACAATTTCTGACATGACTTTCTCAATTGAAAGGCAGGAAGTATCGAAGGATCTGGATATAAAGATGGAAATCTGATGGAGAAACAACCAAATGGTTCACCGACTCTGGCCGCTTTTAATTTTTTGTCATGCTTTTTAACCAAAGCATGTACTAAATTTACTTATTATTAAATAAATCGCTATATCTGCTTGAAGTCTGTTGAAACATCCACTACTCTTTTGGTACAGTAATATTTTATAAAAATATTTATTGATGTTCTGCCGTATCTGACTAATTAAATAGCCCTGAACAATTATTATCCATGTCTGATGTATTGTTTGACATCTTTAGTACAGCAGATCAAATATGTTACCGGTGGTGTGATTTTAGAGGTGGTTGGAGTGTTTTGAAGCCCTGAATCCATTTCACTATGACTGCCGT